GGCTTCCTGCCGAGCAGGGAGCCCGATGTGGGACTCGGTCCCAGGACCCTGGGATCATGACCTGAGCCGAAGGCAGACGCTTAACGACTGAGCCACCCAGGCGCCCAAATATATATATTTTTAAAGGATAGCTCTAGGTTCAAATCTTTTTTTAAGATTTTATTTATTTATTCATAAGAGAGAGAGAGAGAGAGAGGCAGAGGGAGAAGCAGGCTCCCCGCTGAGCAGGGAGCCCGCCGATGCAGGACTCGATCCCAGGACCCTGGGATCATGACCTGAGCCGAAGGCAGATGCTTAACCATCTGAGCCACCCAGGCGCCCCTAATATTTTTTATTAATGGTAAAAATCTATTCAAAAATCTATAAAATATTTAATTGATTCAACATAAAACTGTTTGAGATTATGTGTTGAATCCTCAAATATAAATTGAAGAAAAATTTAAATGATAGATACACAGAAATACTACTAACCTTTCAGTTAGTGAAGTTGCTTCATTCTCTCTGGTTAATTCCAGGAGCTTGACCAATTGGTTATATTCTCGTTCTTTGATTTCAAGTAAGGCTCGTTTGCCTTCAACTTCCTTTATTACATCCTCCTTCTCTTCCATTATAGAATTAATTTTGTTTTCAACTTTCTTTAGCAAGTCATTTAGCTCTTTGAGTTCATATTCCAAGACGATTTTTTTCTTTTCCATTTCTCTGTGGGGGATACATACATACATGTACACATACATACATATATGTGTACACACACACACGTTTGAGCCCATGGTGTCTTTACCTATTTTACTTCCTGAAAAGGCAACAGAAGAGCTAGTGATGAATTCAAAGGTGGGGTGAAGATCACAGGTGGGTGGGGGATTGGGGGGTATCTCCTCTGAGTGCCAATGAGGGCAGTGATTTGTCCTGCCTCCTCACTTTCTCCCCAGATCCCCCCATGCGGCATCACCTGGGGTCTACCCTTATCCTGACCAGCCTCCCTGAATCTCTCAACTTTGGTGGTGATGATGTGGTTTTTAGAACTGTTACTAATGCCTGCTTTTTTTCCCTCCTCACCAGAGCAATCATATTGTTTCTCCAGAATTTTCGTATCTTCACTTATCTTTATCTTTTTGGGTTCCTCTAAACCTTGAGAATTTCCTTCATGATTTCTGCCTCCAAGTTTACCCTGAATGTTCAGGGGTGTTCCCCCATGTGAATAGTTGGCAAAGTAAAGAGTTGCTGTCATCTGGGCTTTAGGCTTCTGGCTGGCTGACACACTTCTAGACCATGAAATTTAGCCTAGTTCAAATAATTAATCTCTTGCATAGCTCTGTTAAAGTCTGTTGGAGTTCTCCACACAGATTCGATTTATAAATTGGAAAGAGAATATTGTCCCCAAATTAAGACATAACTGTTATGAGTGATAGTAATATACTGCATTACTTTCTTCTAATGAACTTGATACACACAACCTAGACAGGGCCAAATGCAGATATTTTGAAGGTTATGATAGTAATTTGATGTGTTCAATGGATAATATTCCTGTTTTAGCATGCACACATAACTTGGGGGGAGAGCGGGTTGGGAGAGCCTAAAAATAATATTAAATCATACACTTTTTTGCGTGTTGTTTTTTCTATCTCTTTTCCAATTTGTACAGGAACAGTTTGATGGTGGACCACTTCATCCTAGTAAAGAAATGGAACCATGTTAAATTATGTAGTCTTAGACCAGAAGTAGTTAAGACAAGAAAATTAAATGGAGAGGAGAGGACTACAATGTACAGAATTCCTGCTATCTGTCCTGTACTGTGCAGGGTGCTTTAATTATTTCACTTAATACTCATAGAGACCTTATAAGATAGTTAAGGTTGTTACCAGTTTAAAGAGGAGGTAGCTGGGGCACCTGGGTGGCTCAGTCGGTTAAGCAACTGCCTTCGGCTTAGGTCATGATCTCGGGGTCCTGGGATCAAGCCCTGCATCAGGGAGTCCGCTTCTCCCTTTGCCCCTCACCCTCGCTCATGCTCTGTCTCTCTCTCAAAATAAATAAAATCTTAAAAAAAAAAAAAAAAGAGGAGGTAGCTGAGTGTAACAAATGCTGTTTGTTCCCTTTATGGCTATATGCCCATCCTCAGGGGTTGGCTGCTAACAGCCCATGCTTATTCTCCTCTCCTCTCTTCTACTCGCCACTGGCTGAGAAGAGCTGTCTTTATCGGGAGTAAAGGGAAGAGGGCAGCCCTCTGTGACCAATGACTAATGGATGTGGTGATATAACAGCCCATCCCCTTTGCCTCTGGGTGGCATTCATGGTCTAGAGTTCCGCATGGGATCAGGTTGAGACTAGAGTTCTCCTGAAAACACATTTTGGCCCAGCTCCTTCCCAACTCTGTGCTACTTTCCTCCCTCTCCTATCAGATTCTCCTTAGTGCCCTCCCTCCACGAATACTTGTCTGAATATTAGAAGCTCTACTTCTAGGGAACCCTGCCTAAGACTCATGTAGAGAGAATTTAAATGATGTTCCCAAAGTCATACAACTAGGAAGTGGTAAGGCCAAGATCAGAAGCTAACTTTGTCTAGTACCACTTTCCACTATGCTCTGTGGGCTCACAGAAGGTTTAGTTTTAGCCTCAAGCAGCTTATGAACATGGCAGGGGTTCTGGAACAGCCGTTTCTGCCTGGGATCACATTGGACTTTGGTGCCTGGGGTAACACACATACATGAAGGTTGTACACATCATGGCAGTGTAGTGCATTTCTCCTTGGGATCTTGCTCAGTCCTGGGGCAGATCCAAGTTTTGTAAGGCTAAGACTCTTAGGATTTGTTGGGGGGGCCTCTTTAAGAAAAAGAATAAAAAATTACAAATGCTAAATAGGCACAGGGCCTTGGAAGAGGTTCATGGAAGTGAGGGGCCTGAAGCTTTAGCTTTGTTGGGCTCCTCGTAAATCTGTCTCTGCTCAGGTCCTCCATTCCAGGTAGCAGCTGGGTCTGTCTTGTTTGACTGCTCTAAGACCCTTAAGGAAAAAGAGGTTAAAGTGAATCATAATTGTCCTTTAAGCCAATGAGTCTCAGATGTTGTTGTTTTTAAAATAACTCTAGGTTATTTAAATCATTTTTGAGATATATATATATATATTTCAAAGTAAAATGAATTTTAATTATCTCCTAAAACATAAATGCATAAGCAAAGTCTTCATCACTTTCATGGGGAGAAGGAAGTAGAGTGGAATCAAACAGACAAGGATAAAGTTATACAAATATAATTAAGAGGTTAGGACATCTGGTTGCTCTTCAAAGAAGTGATTGTGTTTGTGACATTCAGTGCTAATGCTGAAAATGCTTGGTGAGGTCTAGAGAGGTCTTTTCCCTGGGTCAAGGGTTCCACATTAGGGAGGGACTACCAAACACTCTCAAGTCTTCTGTGAATTCCCAGAGCCCGGTGTAGTTTGATTGGATCAGTCACAACACTAAACACTTCAGTTTGTTTGATGCTACCCCTCTTTGTCAAACCTGCATGGTTAGTCTTGATAATGATGCATCTTTACGTCCACGTGGGCACAATGCTTAAGCATTTATGAATTGTAAGTAGCACACCTTTAGGTTGACCTGATATTCCAACAGTTCTTCTAGTTCCTTCTGCTCCTTTAGTAATTGCTTTTGCTTAGATGTCAAATCCTCCCGTAAATTTTTGATTTCCAGTTTCTTCTGCATTATTTCCTTACGTAATTCCTCAGTGCTTTCTCTCAATAGTCTCGTCTTCTTCTCCATTTCCTTTAAAAGTCATGAAAATTATCAGGTTATATAGAGCCTGAGCAAGTATCTGTCTGCCCAAAAATCACATTAAAAATAATTTTACTCACCGTTTTTATTATATTTGTTTTGAGCTTCACGAATGATTTCTTACAAAGTTAAATACAGTAATGATTTCTGACATCTTTGATAAAGGCATCACCGTAGTATGACATGTATTAAACATTTTGCATAAGATTCATACTTGTATTTTTTTTTACTAGTCTTCCTTTCTATCCTGTATTTTAAATGTGTCCTTTTTGAGTTAATTTTTATTTCATACCCAAAAAACGTGAGTGAAAATTTCCAGCCTATTTTCTAGTAGCTTTGTGATTTGACATCAGATGCAAATAATCTTTGACTATTGGGCTTATGGTTAACCTGAGTCACACATGAGAATTAAAGACTAGGGAGTTCATATTTGGAAAACCCAACCCTTTGTGCTCCTTAATCCCCCACTTTCTTATTGGTATTACTTCTCTAACTCATTCATATTCTCCCCAAAGACCCTCCACCCCAGACTCATAACACATCTTTGTTCCCTTGACTGATTATTTGGAGACTGTGTGGCTCATAGGAGAGAAGGCTTACACTCAGAAAATCTCCACATTATCAGTGACTGAGTGAATGGATCCATTTAGCTTGCTCTGGGCTTTCTGCATCTCTCCCTACCCCACTGCTGCTGGGAAAGGGTTAAATTGGTGAGCCTATGATCTGGAACTAAAATTCAGAATGCTTTTTCCCATAAAATCTGTGTGGTAAATGAGAGGTGTACTTATAGTGTATATCTTATATATATTATATAGATATATAGATATATTACATATACAAACACACACATGTAACAAGTAGTATTTTACTCTATGCTAAACAGGTTTTTGTGCCTTGGAGTTAAAACACCAACAACACACTTTTGAAATATAACTGTTCAGAAGAGGACAACAGTGCAAAGTGTAATGACATTTCTATTTACTTTGTGTGATAGATCACGAAAAATGGACTCAAATTCCTCCTGTTACTGTGGGTATTTGTCATTCTTCTCATTACGAGGTAGAGCCTGCTTCTCTACCCCTTGAGTTTAGACTTAGCCGTGTGACTTGCTTGGACCAATGAAATATTCCAAAAGCAGAGGCTTGAAAAGTCTTGTGTGTTGGGGTTTGCCATTACTTGAGGCTGTCTGTCTCTTTCTTGAGGCTGGAAACCCACCATTATATGACTAACTGGTGACATATGATCTTAGACCAACTAGCCTGCCAACTGGCCGACACACTAATGAAGCCATCCTAGACCATCCAGCCCCAAATGAACCGGCTCAGACCAGAAGAACTCAAAACTGTGAGAGAAAAAAAAAAAAAAAAAAGACATGTTGGCTGCTTTAAGCCACTCAGTTCTGGGGCACTTTGTGATGCAGGAATAGTTAGTGATACATCTCCTTCCTGAAAATTTCTCATAGTAAGCTTGAGATGTTCAGGAAGCTCTGAGGGTAACAACTATGCAAAAATAATGTTTTTACATGCCAACCACAGATCCTTTTTTTTTTTCCTAAAAACAAAGCAGATAGTGTCCAACTAAACACAACCTAAACTAGATGCCAAATAGCTAAGCCTGTAATAGGCATCACTGTGTGTATTCCAGAAGTTATTCCTTTCAGCATTATTCAACTTAAGACTCTTGGATCTTTCAAATGTCTCAGGGTATGGTTGTTGTGATAAACATTATTTATCAAAAGGGATGTTTGAATCCAGTTGTATTTAACAAACTGTAGACCATCTAAGACTTACTCCTGGCTTAGGTATCTTCTCAAATTCCTTTATTATGAGGGTTTTTTCTTCTGTTAAGCTGTAAAAAAACAAAAACAAAAACCAACAAGTTTGACAATGTACAAAAGAGTAAGCCATTTCTGCAGTAATAACTTTCTGCTTTCTCTTAGAATGTGCCTCCCATGTTTGTTTGCCAGGTAACCTGGTGGCCATTCTTTGTGATGGCTTCCATGACTCCCAGTTAGTGTGTACACTCACGCATTAGAACAGTTATCTCATCACATTATAGCTACTTGGTAGCACGACCTCCTCCCTAGATTCTGACCCCTTCCAGGCAGGCTCTGGGCCTTTTCTTTTTTTTTTTTTTTTTTAAATAAAGACCTTGTTTATTTATTTTTTTAAATGTTTTATTTATTCATGAGAGTCAGAGAGAGAGAGAGGCAGAGGGAGAAGCAGGCTCCCCACACAGCAGGGAGCCTGATGTGGGACTTGATCCCAGGACCCTGGGATCATGACCTGAGCCGAAGGCAGACGTTCAACCATCTGAGCTACCCAGGCGCCCCTGGGCCTTTTCTTTTTTTATACTATTTGCAATGAACCAGTGCCTGCCTGGATTACTGCAGTGCCTTCCATTGGCTCCATCAAATAAGGAGATCTCGCTAGCCAGTAGGTCTGGGAACTTGGAGCTAAAGGTGCATGCACACCAGGTTTCCTTTTTATGAATTTTTATTTGCAATAATGTAAACTAAGGTTAGTGTAAGAAGTATGTGCCACATGGAATTTAATATAAGTCATCTGTCTGGGCCACAAGCTGAAGTTGAACTTTCAGAGTTTTGAATACGTATGCCTTTGCATTTAGAGCTTGCCTACAAAATGACGATAGTCTACTTCCAACCTGTTGATCCTACACCTCACCCAGGCTGCCACGAGGGGGTGGTAGTGTGCTGCCATATTTTGGTTGTAAAGGCCGCCTTAATGTCCGAGTTGGAAAAATGGTGACATGAAGCTTTCCCACAAGGTAAGACTCACAGCCTTTACTTTAAATAAGTATAAGATGATCTTTTCTTTAAGCAAACATAAGATGGCTAATTCTTTAGGACATTTTAAACTAGTTACATTTCTATCATGCGTTTTTTATTAAGAAAAACTGATTTTTTTCCTTTAAAGGACGCATATTTTCCTACTTATAGAGAAATATATCATTCATAATCCCATCCCCATCACACACAGTTGATCATTGTTACTTTTCTTTTATCTTTTAATAATAGTATACAAAATGTGTACATATGATTGAATCCATTTTTACCCAACATGTAATTAAAAATATCTTCCCAATTAAAAATATCTTCAGACTTCGTAATTAACAATTTAATAGTTTCAAAGTTCCCTAGTGGGTGGATGTCACATAATAAAATAATCCTAAATATCATCTATCTTTCACTGTCCCTATATCAGGTAATTTACATGCATCATTTCTAAACTTCAGAACTTATCAAGTAGGTATCATTTTCTTCATTGTGCAAATGAAGAAACAGGAGCTGAGCACGTTTTCCAAAGTCACACAGTCAAGGCTGAACTGACATTCAAACCTAGAAACCTAGCTCTGACTCAATACCAAGCTGCCAGCCTCTGGAATACATTATTATTTTAAATATTCCATTATTTTTTTAGAATTTAGATCTCTCAAATAAATAAAAATCTTTAAAAAAAAGAATTTAGATTGCTTTCAGTTTTTCACTTTTAAAAAGTAATAATGTAGGAAATATCCTTATGCATTCTTTTTTTTTTTTTCCTTTTAGAGTCTCCTTTTTGCATGGCGTTACTGAAATAAAGGAAAACCACTTTTGTGCCTCTTGATATATATTAACTCCTAACCTTTTAAATTGACATTAAAGTTTAAATTTGCCTGACACTTCCTGCTTTCCTGGCTAAGGGGTGCTTCAGGGTCAAAATTCCTCCAGGGATTCATTTCTTTTCTGCAGCAAGAGAGTCCTAACTGAAACCATGTCATCAAAGGGTTTTGGTTTTAAGGACTCGTGGGTGAAGAGACAGTACAGAAGTCCTGTATGTTGTCATGTGCAAGAGGCATCTTCCACCACCCATAGTAGAAACAGCCTGAGTGGGTGGAAATCGCAAGAGGTAGGTTTTTGAACCAGTACGAGCAATAAACATCTAAGAGTCACGCGGTCCAAAGCCGGAATGGGCTGCTGTGGGAGGCTGTGCGCTCCCGTCAGGAGGTGCTGAAGCATAGACGGTTGGTCACTGAGGGAAGATTGAAGTGATTCTAATGTGTAGTCAGGGCTGAGAACCACTTTTGGGGCCGACAGTTGTTAAAGTTTGACATGTCCCAGAATCACAGAGGGAGCTTGTAAAACATTCACACATTGCCTGGGGTGGGAGGCTTGGACAGAAATTGGGAGTCATTAGTTTTAGGGTTGGATCTGCCTTTTAAACAAGTTTCTCAGGTGCTCCTTTTTCAGTTATGAAGACTACACCCTGCAAAACCTGTTCTAAGCTCATTCTGTTCTCGGTTTCCACGGGGAGAGCAGGAAAGGTTTTTAAAAAAGTGTTTAGAAAGTAAAATCTGTTCCAGCTGTGAGTATTTCCTTACTAATCCTGATGACCTGGATGCCCCTCGGTCATAGCTAACATTCTGGAATTCCAGATGCATTGCTAAAATATGCCCTCTGTTCCTTTCTTGCCAGATCTGTTTGTTTCTTGGTTCCAACTTTGCTATTACTACCGGACAAAGAATGGAGAACAGCTACTGAGCCCTGGATGACAGCACAGGGATGGTGGGAATCAGCTAGGAAGAATAAAGAGTCACTACGGGCAGGATCCCAGGATAGTCCTGCACATGTGCAGCACGAGTGTCCCCAGTCTCCACGTCCCCACTCATGACAGACAGTGACAAATGACCAGGGCTGAGACCTGTCAGAATGCATCACATTTAGCATGAGAGACACAGTTTATTTGCTGTCCAGATCTGAGGAATTATTAGAAAGCAGAGAAGCCCCGAAAGGAAACCGAGGGAAGGCAGGGAAAAGGCTGAAAAGAGTATTGGAAAATCTTTTCAGAGAATGTTTTTAGAACGATAATGACTTCTACTTTGTTTCAAAAACAAGTTCTCAATAGTATTTATTTCATTATTTATTTGTAATATTTATTTAACTTACTTAAGAAGGTTATATATTCTTTCCTAAACTGCATATTCAAGAGATCAATATTAATCTCAAAACCAAAACTATGGTGACAGATTTAATTATTAACCGACCACGTAATTATACTCACCATTCACATTTATTAAAGAGTTTATATTGTGTGACAACATGAGAAAATCAACCAAATTACAGAGTAAAATTTTTTTCTCTAGAGCATTTGAACAATATATTATTCTTCGTAGTTGCCAATGATTCAGAAGTTCCTAAAGATATTGGGGTGGAAGGGTGCTAGTTATTAGGGCTTCTATTATTTAGATCCTGAATAAAATGAGTTTGTTGTGCTGACCTGAAAAATATCATCTGTATATTCAGATGAATGGTTTTCTCTCACTGGCTTAGTTTCTTTATTTTTAGGTGGGGATGGAAATATCTACTTTTTTCCTGGGGAGGGAGTATTGAGTGAATTTGTTTCTGTATCATGTAATATAAAATATATTAAAACCAATGAAATATAGCCTATAATTCTTTCCTGGTATTCCTTTTGGAATCACCATTATTTTTATGAAACTAAGTTTGTTAATTCTTGAGCTAGTAATATTTGAAACTGTGAGGGAGTCTGCTCAAGCTAGAATATTATGTGTTACAAATCCAAAAACAATACACACTAAACATTTCTGCAAATGTGCGTCCTGAATGTTTTTGTTCACTGTAGGTCACTATGCACGGTCCCCTCCCTATCCCAAGTAACTCAGTGAACAATTTGCCTGTCTATACCTAAAAGCAAGGGTTGTGGTTGTTGCTGGGTTTTTTTTCCTTGGCAGGAACACTTGGAAATTTTAAACAATTTAAATATCAACTGACTTATGTTCCTCTTACCCTTTCATGGAAATGTCAAGCATTCATATTTTCAGTAATAATGAACAACCACCAATTGTTTTAATTTCATTATTTTCTCAACTGAAAGAGTGCTTACAGAGCACAGAAATAGCTAGGCTTTCTTTTTATAGATCTCACTGTGAGCCTGAAACAAGTTTAGATTGAAAGACAAAAAAGGACTCAGATTTTTTTTTTGCCCTGAATATAATTCTCCTGAGTAAGCTAGCCTTCTTCATCCCCCAGTTGAAAAGACAGGCCCCAACAAGAGGATTCAAAACCGAGGGCTCACAGAGTCCTCAGAAAGTCACTCAAATCATTTGCTTATCTCTCAGCAGGAATGAATTATATTCGCTCTGTTGAAAGTCTACCCACTCTTAAAAAAAACACCCAGAGAAAGTTCTGCCACCTTAAAAGGTAACAAATTCCAGGAGTGATGATTATTTGGCTTTCTCTTCAGTATCCAGGCAGAGTACCCAGCACACCCAGCACACCAGAGCACAAAATTTGGATGGTAATCATTTTGAAATTCAGTCTAAAGAGTGTGGTTTGCTGAACAAACTGACTTGCTCTTCCACTGACTTGCTCCTCTACAGGAGGAACGTTAGAGATTTTGGAAAGAACCTTTGCCTTCTAGCAGTACATTTCTACTTCAGTTCACTGAATGACATCCTCCAGATCTGGATGAGTAATTGTGTCTTCCAAAAGGATATTACTTCCTTTCTTGATCCTAGGAATAGTTTAGGAGAATAAGGTTGACTATGTGGCTCGTGTTGCTATATTAGAAAATAGAGGGAGCCAGATGTGACCCTCAGCTCACAGAGGTTGGTCTGCAAAGCGCCTGTGGGGCTCCTGCCATGCAGCCACGTGGTCTGGCACTGCTGAAGGGACATGGGGTCACCATCAGGGCCAGAGAGGGTGAGAGCGTGTGCCAGGCCCTTGTTCTCTGCGGTGTGTTCTTTGGCTACAGCTTCCGATGCTTATGGCTTTCCTGACACAGGGAAAACAACAGCAGGGATCTCCTCCTGAGGGCGTCTCCCTGTCACCTGAGGTTTTTTCTAGAAGTTGGGTAACCTTCTTGTTCAGGAATGGCCCGTTCTAGGAAACCAAGGAAAGAGCTAGGCTTGTAGTCACCTTAACGTTGCCCTCTCACACTCAGTGTGCCTAAAATTCCTTCCGAATTGAGTCTAATTTTTCTGATTATGTGGAAAGCGCTTTGCTCAACTCCCTCTTCAGTGTGTTTGAGAGACGTGTGCACTTACCTATTTAATCTGTACTGATTGTGGAACTCTCTTTCCTTCACTGCATTATATTCGTTTTGGTACTTGAGAAGTTGTTCTCGCATTTTAGAGACCTCGGTGGTGAATGCCTCAGGAAAATTATCAGCTTGCTGCAGGTGAAACTGCTGCTGTTGTATTTGCTCGGTGAAACGTTTGGCATCCTCTAGCAGTTGGACCTCGGACTCTTGTGTGCTGGGTTCCATGAAACAGATTCAAATAATGAGAAGGGTGTACTTTTAACACCTGAAGTAGCTCACATGGGGGGTGTAGCAAGGAGAGGAGGGAACGTGTCCACGCTGCTCCCGGTTCCTTCCATTACTGGGTTCAGTTCAATACACTGATATTTTTGTGCCAAGTGTTGTACCAGGTACTAGAGGTGAATGGAGCTCACAATCTCACAAGGGGAACGGATAGAATAGGTAGCTGGAATACCAGGTGACAATTACTACCACTAGTGTCTAACTCAAGATGGTGGGAGAAACAGGAGCATTGAGTTGGATGGGAATGTGGTATTTGTATTTGACTTTGAAGAATAATCATGACTTCCCGGACTGAGGGGGTGGGAGGTTGATAATAAGGAGAAGAGTGGGTCCTCCCTTCAACTGCCCCAGCAATGCTGGCTTTCTCTAATTCCTGAATTCTCCTGAGCTGACTGTAGGAAAATCTTTTCCTCCTTAGTGAACTAAGAAACAACAGAGTTTTCTAATGACACTTTTACTAGGCAACTAGGAAGAAAAATTCTCCTATAGAATTATGGACCTAAACTACCTTATAGATTTCTGATCCTATCTTCAATGTCTGGCTAGAACTAGACTTGAATGTCACAGTTGAGAGGGATTCCCTATCTAGGTCTTGTCCCTTGCATTTTAATACACTTTGCAAATCTAAAGTTGCCTGATCTTAATATGAGTTTTCAGCTGTGGAATTGTGAAGCGTTGGCCTGGGCCAGTGCCTGATCTCCCCCAGAAAGAGAGTGGACAAGGTGGCTAGGGTTCTCACCAGAACACAAATGCTAATTTACCCACATGGATTTGAAATACAAAGTCAGCAGAAGAGAATTTAACAGCGTCTATAATGTGGTTCCAACGCGAAGCTCATTCGGTTTCAGTTCAGCATTTCCAGGCTGTATCTGCCATGCTAAAACCTCAGCAGCAAGAGTGGAGAGCGTGTCTTCATGCCATTCTCACCCACCAGGCAGGGGGAGTGGGAGAGGGTGGTGGGTGTTCCGAATGACAAGAGAGGGAACTAAAGGGTCAAGAGGAGGTAAAATGTGGATAGCAGAAGGGAAGTGAGGGTTTTGCAACACAACCTGGAAGTAGGAAGAAAGAACACCATTGCCTTGGTCCTACATTGTTGTCCATCACTGGGGCCCAGGGAACTGAACTGTGGGCCAGGGAAGGAGGAAGCCAAATCAGCACCCCACAAAGCTTTGTGGAGCTCTAGATCAGAGCTATCTGGAGGGTGAGAAATGTTGCAGTATTCCTTGTATCTGCAAAGGGACTTGGAGGGATGCCCTGAGAACTGCATGGATTCCCATCCCCCTCCCATTTAAGCAGTGAGAAGTATGTTGAAAAAGCTCACCCCAGACTTCCCATCTAAATCCTCCAAGTTCCTGAGTCTTGAGCACTCTGTGTACACCCTGGCAGTCAGGGCCAGTTGTGGGAAATGGAGTCTCCTTGAGGGATGGGGATGAGGCGTTGGCTCGAGGCTGGCATTGAGGAAGAAGAGGAGGAACCAGAGCTGGACGGTTGTTAGGAACTTGGATGGAGCTGAGTGAGCAGGCAGTGCAGTGAAAGTAAAGGGTGCATAGGGAGGCAGCTCTGCTCTCCTGGTGCTTCACTCTTCCCTCATGCTCCCATCCTCAAAGTAGCCAAGTTGACTCTGGGCAGGAAAAGAAGTAGGGCTAATGTTTGAAGATTGGGGGAGAGGATGGATGGGAATGGCGGGATGGAGTTTCTATCCACTGCTGTCTCTCCTTGGCTTTTAGTGAAGACGTCATGCAAGGTTATGATGCAGGAGGTTATGGGGAAATGAAGAAGGAAGATGGGGAATAGTAAGGAGTAGCCGCAGAACTGGATTTCCCTTCTTCACTCTCTTTCTCCCTTGATTCCCAGTGGTTCATAGCAGGTGCTTAGAAAACTTTGTGGAATTATCCTGTGGAAGCCTATTCTCACCTGCTGCTGATTGGGACTAGGCTAAGGAGAGTAGCCTAGGGTAGGTGGAAGAGGTGAGAAGACCAACATCTCAACAGATGTAGGCTGGAGTTGTGCTCAAACCTATACTTCTGAGTGGTGAAGAGAGATGGGGAGCAGAGAATCCTACAAGAGTGTCCTGTAGCAGAAAATGTCAGTATCCCACCAAATCCCACCCCCCCAGCCCACTCTGGGGTCACCTGTAGCTCTGGTGGACAGTTCCCTTACACACTGACAGCACCTGTGTGCCTCTGCCTGAGAGCTTTCTCTGGCCGTAGGAACTTGCTTGGCTTCTCAGGGGGCATGCTCGAAGTGCCAGGAGCTCTGCTCCCTAGGAGCAATTGTTAGTCAACAAGGGATGGAAAACAGTGGACAAATATCCCAGTTTCCTCACCCTTTGGTGGGAGAGTTCTGAGGTGTGTGCCACACCCTCAGAGGGTCCTCAGTGAGACTGAGCACCAGTTGGCCACAGCGTAAACCTACCGAGAAGCACACCCCCGGCTAGATTGCTCCCTTCCCCATCTCACTTCCCCATCCTCCCGTGATAATTTCTGGTATCACTTCTCAAACTACTTGAACTCAACTTTGCCTCAAGGCCTGGGAGAATAAAAATCAAGATAGAGCCCATCACACACACACACATACACACACACACACAGAAATATAAATATGATAAAAGATGTCTCCACATGAGCAAATAGCCTACCTTACCACGGTATCATGCAGCAAGGTGTACTTGGCTTTTAACTCTGCCATTCTGGTTCCAGGAAGTTTTCCCATACTGTGTAACTAGCAAAGAGAATACAAGATCACCGTTAGCCATCGCCTTTATGCCTAAAGCAGAGATATCTTGTAAAATCTTCCCATTTAACATTAGAGAGGAAACATACCAGGCAATGTGGGGTATTACAAAGATGCTGGGTGTTTGGAGAAAATGGTTCTACTCTGTCTCTTGTAATCTCTGTGTTCCTGGCAAGACTCTTACCTCTCTAGACTATCATTTCTTCATCTGTAAATTGAGGGAAGGAATTGAGTTAAATTCTTCCAATTCTAAAAAACATATTTCTAGGTTTAGCAAATAACCTAAATGGTATAGATGACCAGGATGGCTATTTGTAAGTTGAGAGAACTAATAATTATCAAGCATCTATTACGAGCAAGCACTGTACATCAATTATTTCATTGTCAGAAATGTTTTGTGAAGTAGGGATTATCTCCATTTTAAACTAAAGTTGAGAAAGTTAAGTGATTTGTTTCCAAGTTACAGAGCTAGTTAAAGGCAGTGTCAGAATGTAAACCCAAGTGGTCCAGCTCCAAAAACCCATGATCACTCCCCTGTCCCACAATCTCTCTGCCTCTACAGCCAAAAAGCATGCAAGTTTATTGGGTGCAGAAAGTGATATTATTTGTTCCTTTTTCATTTCTGGCAAGAGAACTTTTGATTTACTCTCTTAGTTGATAAATAGTAATAGACATCAGAGCACAACATGAAACACTAAAGTTTTACTATAATGCAATGAGCATTTGTATTAGGTTTGACTTTAACTGAACTGCTGCTGACATAGTATCAAAAAATGGAACTAAAGAAAAGATTTGTGGGTTTTAATTTTTTTAAAGATTTTATTTATTTATTTGACAGAGGGAGACACAGCGAGAGAGGGAACACAAGCAGGGGGAGTGG